AGTGTAGCAAAACAAATGTTAGTGAATAACTGTAAATAGCATCAGAAAGCAATCTTGGGGAATCGTGGATCCCCAACACTTCTCTAACCTCGTGAAACCTTCTCCAAAATTTATAAATCACATTTTGCAAGTGTCTAGCATTGAAAAACAGTGTCTTTAGGAGATAGGATCCCAACCTCCTGTGCCAGGTTCTTTCGCCAACAGACTACCACTCATTTCAAGTTTCAGTGAGTCGTATAAATGAAAATTGACTTGATTCAGTATTTCAATTTTAATGACCACCTCCTGCTAGAAATGATAAGTCTCTCTCCAGATGAGGACTGTCCTAGGAATTCGTGAATTATGCATTGTTTTCCTCGTGCCTAATGGTAGTCCACAAGGTTGAATTTCATCTAGCGCAGAAAAAACTTTTTTAGCATCAATCCTCGTCCGCGCGATTTGATTGGGCTTAAAGAAAGCTCTTAATCAGGCCCTCCCAAGGCTATTTTGATTCCACTTCGGTGCTATTGGGTAAACTGGGTTGGGCTAACTGTGACGACAGCTTGAACTTCGGCATACGCTGGCCAATTACATTTCACCCTTTTTTCAGGACGCAGCAGCAAACTCGACGTCAGCGCATTATTGGACGAGATTTTTGGCCAGCACATGCACAATCTACGGATTCATGGTTGATATGACGAAGTGGTCTACCTCTACCATGCTAAATGAAGATGGTTAATGCTGATCTTTTAAGCATTAGATCTTATCCATAAATAAAGTCCACATGCTTGGAGTTATACTGTCTACATTTATGATATTACCAGCACCACACGAGAATGACCAACCCATCTCAGAGCAGGTGAATATTTCGTAGATTCGAGTTCTGACTGGTATCTTTTCCTCAATACCTCTTCATGTTTATGCCTAAAAAGGAAAGTTCGTGGATAGCATCCGGTTTCTGACTCAAAATAGGCAGGGATGCAGCACGAAATTTCATTTACTACCTGAGTGAATAATTACTTTCTTGGTTAGCAATAGTGGCTTGGGATTCTCAGCCTGAGTTATTCATGGTTGAAACTGATTTTGCCTGCGATGAGTGCTTAACTGGTCTGGAAACAATTAAAGCGAAGCCGAAATTATAACTACGCTTGTTTTGGTTACCTTGTAATGACTCCTCAGCTTCGGGTCCAAGTAAACGTATGCATTAAGGACTTGGCAACTCCAAGGTCGTCGAGGTTGCAACTACGAGTTAAGGGCTAAGCAAATAAATAGAACGGTGCTTAAAAAAACCACACCCATGACTCCATGCATTCTAACGCGAAGCAGAAAATCCGATGACAGAGAGCGTCACCGCTAATTGGTGTTCAGTAGAGGTCAACATCTGCCGAAAACTACACTTGCTCGCAAAGGTGGCTTTCTCGAGAATACTGCACATCTCATTTGAAGAGTTCAAACCTCAGGCAAAATCTTATTTGTAAATTAAGTCGAGATAGAACTTAGAGCTCCCATTTTGAGGTAACATCATGGAGTCTGAAAAGGTGCTACATGACGTTAATTTCAGCGGATTATTAAGTCTTGTCAAGTGGCAATGCCTTGCAACTTGTTACTGAACTTTGCTTAATTGCAGCCAGCTTATTCTCGTCTGATGGCCGAAATTCAGTTTTATTTAAGTAATCCTTAAACAAGTGAACTAGCAATTTTCTGATTCGTCGCTCACAACATTTTTATTGAGGAAAAACACGGAAACGCAAAAATAATAGACTAAACGCTTCCAGCCATTTCTGGGCTCAGCAGTGATCAAAAATACTTGCTCAGGGAACTACAGAATCACAAGTATTGATAAAACAGTCTAAATATAAATCGATATCTTCAACATGGAACGCAATTTGGAATAAATTTTCCAACTTCGTTTTTATATGGGCTACAATTATGTCCTACTTATTTACCCATGTTTCTAAATTCTTATACTTGTGCCTACAAGTTAAGGAAAGCTAACCCAGGTACGAGCACACGTAACGCCATTTTCATCCATTTAATCTGCTTTAGTGATTTGCAATGTGAACATATTTACCAGGCCACGTAATTGCAACCAATTTTCGATTGGTTAATAGAGAGCGAGAGAGTCAATAATTTGGAATGCGTATTTCTTCTACACACATGATTTCATAAACAAAATCGAAATAATAACTAGTTGACTCATAGGTACCACAATGATCAGGGTGCCTGCTAATTACCATTAAGAAAACGAATTAAATTCTGCAACCAACTTTTGTTTTTTCATCGCCTCCTTTAACTTCCTAGTTCTAAGTTTTCCTATGCTTTCATGGATGGTAACATCAAGCTATCAACCATTAAGCTAAAATGGATGCTTTCTTACTAATCTTAAAATAGAACCGTGAAATGTATTTCTGCGGAGTACATCCCAGTACATAATTTTAGAATGGCACTTATACCCTTTAACATACTGTGGAGTATGGCATTTGGTTTAGTTGTCCCCAGAAAAATCCTTCCAAAGTACAACACCAACTTGGAGATTAACTTGAATCCCATTTCATTCAACCGACTATGTAAGTGATAACGACCAATGTTAGACTAGTTCATAGACTTACTTAGTGATTAATTGCTGCTTTGAATCACCAGTTTATTTGATCAGTGGGGTTAACTGACACTCGCTCCAGATGTAGAACCGAAACAAAACATATATGAGAATCTGTACCTTTTCAGCGTTGACAAACAAGGTGTTTTGCGTTATATCTCTATTCAAAACTAATTCACAACTTCAAAGGCGGACGTCAGCCTAGATTGAGCTGAGTGGCCACATGCGGCAGCATGCTACTGTAGCCATGACCCAACTTAACCTGTTCTGCACGAATCCAAGTACTTCCAGTGAATACTCTATGAGGTGCTACGACCAGACTCAATCTACCAGACATAAGCTGTTTTGAATGTTACCATACCACGGCGCACTAAGACAGCCACCAGGCTTGTACAACCACCATAAGTAAGTAGAAACACACATCAGCAAAACCAACGACGCCTCGGGTAGGCTTGCGTCAACTTGAATCCATTTTGCAATGACCCAATCACTGGATGCAAGCCGCTAACCATCAGCGTGCGACTTTCAGCCTAAGCGCCAATAAGCCCCTGCGACCCCACCGGACAGACCCATTCGCTAATGCTTCACCAATGATTGAAGACTCGTAATACCACGGACCAATATATTTTTAACCAAATCCTGCATTGGTTCAGTCGCTCGCCAAGAGAGAGAAGAGAAGTCGATGCACCAGCAGTCAGGCGTCCAATTCCCTTCAAGCTTGTTGCAATGCCACGTGGAATGCGTAGTCAAAGTATTGCGTCGTTTGTTGGTCGCGCCTCGGTGACGGCCTATCACAACCACTGCAAGTAAAGTGTGGTCCAATGGGCGAGAACTTCACAAAGAATGCACCAATGAAAGTTACAACATCTTCAGCAAATGGAATCATGAAGGTAAAAATTAAAAGGTAGTATTTTTCTACCAACTAAGATATATTAACGGTGGGATAGTTGTTTTCATTAAGTTCTGTCATTTAATAATTTGTTTTAATGCGGTCGAGTCCATTTTGTGAGCGGGTTTTGGATTTTGAGGATAATTCTTGGTTCTGCTACATAGCTCGTAGTAAATTCGAAAAATGTAAGTAATTCATGATTATATTTAAGCATTTTATTAACGAATTGATATCATTAATTAGTTTTAATGGGTTCGTGTGTTTATGCTTTAATGTCGTATCCGAAACGTGCAAGTGGTATCTTGTTGCACAGTTCTTTGTTCTTATAAGGGCGTAAAGTTAGTTGGTTCGATTATTTATCTTAAATTCTGTTCAATAGTAGCTTTTAGAACCTACTTTTGTTGAAAATTGCTTTCGTGCTAACGTTTGGCCAATCAGAACTGTAACGCTCTAAACTCCAATCAAAGCTTACATGCTGACAACGCGCTGGCAATCGACGAAAACTTCTGAAAAGCCCATATTAAGTGTGCAACATCTGTTTGGGCATCCTGCGACTTTATTTACTGGGTTTGCACATTTGCTGACATGTAATGTAATCACTGAATTACTTCAAAGAACATCAATTATCGTACTGTTCTTCGTAGCAGTAGGGATGTAAGGTGGTCCCGTATTAAGTTTTCATTTTTACTTTTTTCCCCAAAGTCTCAAATTATTTTGCTTTTATTTGTAGGGAAGGCTACATTCAAACTGGACAGATGGTGCCGGCACAGACCTTACTTCAACCACTTCAGCAGCAGTTAATTGTCGACCCTAATGGTGCCGCAGCCGCTCAACAACCAACTACCTTTGCGTTTCAAGCAAGTGATGGTAGTCTTATCCCGGTGCAACTTGCTGCTTCTCCCAACGGTGGACCGCTTATAATGCTTATGCCTGCCGCTACCACGGGCCAGGCTCAGCAGCCCATTTACACCACCCAGGCTATTACGACGGGCGCCACTGCGGCAACAGCAACCATTGACGCTTCCGGCCAAGCAACAGTTCTTAGCTCTACAGTGGACGATGAGAACAATCAGGCTGCCTTGCAGCAACAACAGAATCAGCAGCCTGGAGGTCAGGTGCAACTGGTTCATCAGCAGGCCGTGACGGCAACCCAAGCTACAAATCAACTGATGCAACAGACCGCTACTCAACAGAGTGCTGCTGCTGCGTTAAGCGGTGCTTCAATGGCTGGTGTTGGTGCTGAGGAGCCCCTATATGTAAATGCGAAGCAGTACAACCGAATCCTTAAGCGGAGACAAGCTCGTGGTAAACTCGAGGCTCAGGGTCGGATACCGAAGGAACGCAGGAAGTACCTGCACGAATCTCGCCATCAACACGCAATAAAGCGGGTTCGTAATGCCGGCGGTCGGTTCTATTCTGCACCGACAACTAGTAAGTAAAATGTTAGTAAGACATCTGTTTTATAATTGTCGCTTCGGAATTTCATATTGATTCCTGTTCGATGTCTTGAAATCGATAGCATTGGGTTTTGTTGACTTCGGTTATCGTTTAGTGTAGGTCTTTAATATACGTCAAATGTCTTGCGACGAATCTTTTGTTCCTCCACCAAGCAGTTTCTGAAGTGGTTTTCTTCTATTTTAGCGTACATTGAAGGAGCCCAATGAGAAATCTGGCTTTAGCCCCCCTCCCTTCCCCTTCTCAGCCGATTTGCTCTCGTTCCACACTCAATGTTTGTTGGCCTCAGATTGGTTTGCTTTGATACCATACACAGAACTGTCGTACTTGACCGCCGTTACTGTTGTCAATCATCACTGCACACACCATCGAATTATTGCGATATCCTGTGTCTGTATAAAACGTCTTATTTTTTGTCATTGTAAATAAACTCAAAGTCCCGATGCTCCTGATGACTTTCTGCCCTCAGACCTTCAGCATCGTGAGTTATATTCTGTTGCTAGGTACGCGATTCCGAACGAAGTATGGTGTACATGTTTCGGGCGCGTCGTAGGCATTTTGATTTTTGGCATGCTGGCCGAAGTTGCGTGTGCCTCTTCGATTTACTGACTTTGCACGTAAACAAAGGGCATTTACGGACTAGCATTCCCTTTCATCAGAACACAGTGGTTGTGGGGTGCCAAGGTGACGGTCTTGTTGGGTAAGGAAGCAACGACCAACAGGACATGAATGACTTGGCTAGTTTTTCTTTAGGATGGTGGGCCTTAACACGCGTTTGTCAGTAGTTTGCGGCGCTAGAACTTGTAAAAACAATCAGGCGGTGCTCGAATGTGCTGTCACGCTACCACAATCATGGGCCACGGAAAGGATTGCCTGCCCGATTACGTTGAGCTTAATCAAATTGCTTGCTGTGTCGTCAAAGTTAACAGACCCTCGCAGCATGGTGCATTTACACTTTGATTCCGGGTCAATCTGTACGAAGGACAGCCTTTTACCTACTTAGAAGGCCGGAGGAGGTGTTTGCTCATAGTCGCATTCAAAAGACGGAGCCATTCAATGTGTATTGTGCTTGATTAGCTGAGCACTCGAACTGCAACTCAAGTTTTGGGGTTCCATTGTCTAATGTCTTGGATTCAATAAGGAAAGTCGGGAAATCGGGTTTTTAACTTTTCTTTCGCATGGATTGTCGGAGCAAAAAAACGATAAATTTGAAAATTTTAGTTCCAAATAAGAGTAAACTTGTCAATTTAGACTAATCATCACTACTAATTATAAGGTAGTAGAATAATATATGTTTTGGATATTTTGCGGCGACGGATTAATATTGGGCCACAAAGCATTACCGGTAGAGTTAGGAAGGCAGGGCAGTAAACATAGTGTCGGTGGCCACAAACATCCCTAATAACAACGTTTACGCCTAAAGATAATGCTAAACTAATATAAAGAAGGTAATTTTAATGGCTGTAGTAAATTCCCACGACGACGCTATTAAGACGCTCTACTTCTCGTCCTGATTGTACACAAATTTACCAATTTCGGTGACTTAATTCAACATTCGCGATTTTTCAGTTTCAACGCGAGGTGTTAATGACACCACCGATGCCCCGACGAGTAAAGTAGCCAACTAAATGGCCGTTGTGGTGACTCATGTTGGTTCATGTCCATCAACTCTGCTGCCGCACCCTCCGACACACCACCCCCTTCCCTTTCACAGCGTGCCCGTCAGTCATGCAGCACC